TTTAACTACCTAGAGCAACGTAGAATCGCACCGAACAATCGTATGGAAGAGGATGGTATAGCACAAAACCGGATTTTGTTCAAACATGTGATTGCGAAAAGAATTGTTCAGTGGCGCCAACGGATGTATATCGCGTGCTTGCAAATGATGTGTCCAGTTTGTGGCCAGCTAGGCCAGCACGAAACAGCTCCATTCTTCATGATGGAATGTTCTAGAACTGACCAGCTAATATCCATGGAAATATATGACCGTTATTGTATGATATCATATTCAAGCCCGCTTATCTACGGTCGTAGATTGAATTGCTTACTTTTGTTACTTAAATTAAGCCAAATAAATTTTCAGTCATTTCATTCGATTTAACTTTTCAGCCTTTTTACCAGATTTTTAAAGGCTATAGTCAGGTTTTTTCAAAAAAATGACTTTTTTTAAAAGTTGTTCAGATGACCACTATTTTGCTGAGCGAGTGAAATCTCGAAAGACTGAACCGAGTTCTTTATATTTTTGAATCGATGGCAGTGGCAAAACTGTCTGTCCAAAGATCAGTTACGTTAATACGGATTTCAGCTTATGATAACAGACAGAACTGTTTGTAAGCCAGTCACGGTATGTACCGTGAGGTTGCTAATAGTGTGAATCTTTTGTAGCTGCCTAGAGCAACGTGGAATTACACCAAACGGTCGTATGGATGATAACGGTGTAGCAAAAAATCGGATTACGTTCATACATGGGATTAGAAGGACGAATTGTTTTGCACGTCAACGGTAATTATCGTGAGATCAGAAACAGTTTGAACCGCTTTTAACTACCTAGAGCAACGTAGAATCGCACCGAACAATCGTATGGAAGAGGATGGTATAGCACAAAACCGGATTTTGTTCAAACATGTGATTGCGAAAAAGAATTGTTCAGTGGCGCCAACGGATGTATATCGCGTGCTTGCAAATGATGTGTCCTGTTTGTGGCCAGCTAGGCCAGCACGAAACAGCTCCATTCTTCATGATGGAATGTTCTAGAACTGACCAGCTAATATCCATGGAAATATATGACCGTTATTGTATGATATCATATTCAAGCCCGCTTATCTACGGTCGTAGATTGAATTGCTTACTTTTGTTACTTAAATTAAGCCAAATAAATTTTCAGTCATTTCATTCGATTTAACTTTTCAGCCTTTTTACCAGATTTTTAAAGGCTATAGTCAGGTTTTTTCAAAAAAATGACTTTTTTTAAAAGTTGTTCAGATGACCACTATTTTGCTGAGCGAGTAAAATCTCGAAAGACTGAACCGAGTTCTTTATATTTTGAATCGATGGCAGTGGCAAAACTGTCTGTCCAAAGATCAGTTACGTTAATACGGATTTCAGCTTATGATAACAGACAGAACTGTTTGTAAGCCAGTCACGGTATGTACCGTGAGGTTGCTAATAGTGTGAATCTTTTGTAGCTGCCTAGAGCAACGTGGAATTACACCAAACGGTCGTATGGATGATAACGGTGTAGCAAAAAATCGGATTACGTTCATACATGGGATTAGAAGGACGAATTGTTTTGCACGTCAACGGTAATTATCGTGAGATCAGAAACAGTTTGAACCGCTTTTAACTACCTAGAGCAACGTAGAATCGCACCGAACAATCGTATGGAAGAGGATGGTATAGCACAAAACCGGATTTTGTTCAAACATGTGATTGCGAAAAGAATTGTTCAGTGGCGCCAACGGATGTATATCGCGTGCTTGCAAATGATGTGTCCTGTTTGTGGCCAGCTAGGCCAGCACGAAACAGCTCCATTCTTCATGATGGAATGTTCTAGAACTGACCAGCTAATATCCATGGAAATATATGACCGTTATTGTATGATATCATATTCAAGCCCGCTTATCTACGGTCGTAGATTGAATTGCTTACTTTTGTTACTTAAATTAAGCCAAATAAATTTTCAGTCATTTCATTCGATTTAACTTTTCAGCCTTTTTACCAGATTTTAAAGGCTATAGTCAGGTTTTTTTCAAAAAATGACTTTTTTTAAAAGTTGTTCAGATGACCACTATTTTGCTGAGCGAGTGAAATCTCGAAAGACTGAACCGAGTTCTTTATATTTTTGAATCGATGGCAGTGGCAAAACTGTCTGTCCAAAGATCAGTTACGTTAATACGGATTTCAGCTTATGATAACAGACAGAACTGTTTGTAAGCCAGTCACGGTATGTACCGTGAGGTTGCTAATAGTGTGAATCTTTTGTAGCTGCCTAGAGCAACGTGGAATTACACCAAACGGTCGTATGGATGATAACGGTGTAGCAAAAAATCGGATTACGTTCATACATGGGATTAGAAGGACGAATTGTTTTGCACGTCAACGGTAATTATCGTGAGATCAGAAACAGTTTGAACCGCTTTTAACTACCTAGAGCAACGTAGAATCGCACCGAACAATCGTATGGAAGAGGATGGTATAGCACAAAACCGGATTTTGTTCAAACATGTGATTGCGAAAAGAATTGTTCAGTGGCGCCAACGGATGTATATCGCGTGCTTGCAAATGATGTGTCCTGGTTTAGGCCAGCTAGGCCAGCACGAAACAGCTCCATTCTTCATGATGGAATGTTCTAGAACTGACCAGCTAATATCCATGGAAATATATGACCGTTATTGTATGATATCATATTCAAGCCCGCTTATCTACGGTCGTAGATTGAATTGCTTACTTTTGTTACTTAAATTAAGCCAAATAAATTTTAAGTCATTTCATTCGATTTAACTTTTCAGCCTTTTACCAGATTTTAAAGGCTATAGTCAGGTTTTTTCAAAAAATGACTTTTTTTAAAAGTTGTTCAGATGACCACTATTTTGCTGAGAGCGAGTGAAATCTCGAAAGACTGAACCGAGTTCTTTATATTTTTGAATCGATGGCAGTGGCAAAACTGTTCGTCCAAAGATCAGTTACGTTAATACGGATTTCAGCTTATGATAACAGACAGAACTGTTTGTAAGCCAGTCACGGTATGTACCGTGAGGTTGCTAATAGTGTGAATCTTTTGTAGCTGCCTAGAGCAACGTGGAAATTACACCAAACGGTCGTATGGATGATAACGGTGTAGCAAAAAATCGGATTACGTTCATACATGGATTGAAGAAGGACGAATTGTTTTGCACGTCAACGGTAATATCGTGAGATCAGAAACAGTTTGACCACTTTAACTACCTAAAACTAACCTCCTTTAGCTAATTTTAGATCGTTTCCGATGAAAAGAGATCGATCTCACTACTGGGAGATCGTTAGGAGATCGTTTTAGATCGTTTTTTCCGTTAAATTTTTCGACCAATCAGAGTTCGTTTAACTGACCAATCACGTGTGCCCGTTAAAATTTTCTGACCGACCTGACGTCACAGATCGACGGCCAGACTTGCGTGTCGTGTGCAAAAACTACGCCTACATCTAGCTCAACTCAGTACCGACCAATAGGAATTGCGTATTTTACGCCTCGACCAATCCAATAATTAATAATGGGTTTTTACCTGTCTACCGTTCCGATCCTGCGAAAAGATGATCCAGATTATCCAGATGATCCAGATGATCTTCTCCACTTTCCGTTCCCGCGCAGCCGTATTCCGCACGGTTGTGGCGCCTTCCTGTCCGACCTATTCTGCCCTCTGCTGCGCTTGTCAGGCTAAACAGCAGGTCGCTCTACAGCCAATTTGGTGGAGCGCGTTTACTGATCTCTTGGCACCTCCTTCGGTGCTGCCAACTCGTGGCTTCTCGGCTCTTGTGCCCGACAGCCTTGACCCCAACAAGAGGTGCCCGCTGCCTAGCAGAGGAAACAGTACAAGTTCTCCGACAGGAGAGCTCTTGCACCGCAGCCTTCTGCCGTCTGATTGGAAGTGCACGACGAGTTCTCCTACAGGAGACTCTCTAGTCAGTGCAGCCGCTGATGCTGGCAATCCGATCGATGAGCGCGCCTTGCTTCAGATGAAGAAAACCAGTGCCTTACTGGTGAAATGAGATCAGGTTGATCCAGATCAATGTGGCCGTTCGCCAAACAGATAATCGCGGCCGTTCGCCAAACAGATGACAACTCAGAAACCGTCTGTTCACGGCTCTGCTACCATATCACCGTGGACTGTGAAAGAGTCCAGGACGGTAGCCCAGACTGACAGGACTCCGTGGAGTGTAATACGTGACGTTTAAAGGAAGAAATGCACAACGCACGATATCCAGTCTACGTAGTACACTTTATTAACGTTCTCTATCGTGAAAACCAACACACTGACGTTCAATGCTCGGTGAGCTAACGTCTACCAGAATTCTCACATATAAAACTGCACGGCGCATAGTGAACACAGTGAACAGCCAATCAGAAAAGAGACACGCCACAGACGGTAATTTCATGGGGAAATCCCCAGTGCGCAGTGCAACGAAGCACTCCCCCAACTCCAGTAGCGTCACTAAGGTGGACGCAAGGGAGCCATCGCCTCACAACTGAAAACGTTCAGCTTGGTGATTTTCTGAGACTTAAATTACGTTAAAGAGAAACAAAAGCTGGTTTAAAAAGTTCATCCAGTACAGATTTAATTACAGTAATGATATTTGCTTCAGTTTCTCGGCTCCACCCCTGGTTCCGAGTACGAAAACTGCGTTGCCTCTTTGGATTGACAATCGACAAATGCTGGCGAAGAAATTCGATTGAATGAAGTTTACCAGTATTCTGTTGTAACGGTTTGCCGATTTCCTTCACTAAAATGGAATCCGACTATCCCCCGTGTTCTATGGCAACCACGGTTGCCATTCTATGGCAACCACGGTTGCCATGAGACTACCCCATTAACGGCACATCTATTAATTGCACACCGTTCCACTTATTGCAAGCCCACAAAAATAAAAAATCCTATTTTCACTATTACGGCATTCAGTTATTTTCGTTTTGTTACCAGCAGTTTTCAATTTCACTTTTTTTTCTTATTTTTTTTTTTAATTTTAATACCCCATTAAAAAGACGTGCACAGGGATCGCGTACTACTGCTGTCTAATCATAGTTTTTTGCAGACGACACATCCCGTGAGTTTCTTTTCAGGAAACTGATCGATTTTGACGGTATTGTTCATCGGTATTTTTGTCGTCCTCACCGGAAAAAATGATGAATAAATTTGTGGCAGTAAATTTCGGCCTGATGTTTCTGATTTGTGTAACTATTTTGACATTGTCTGACGCACGGTTAACACAACTTGAAGCCAGTTTCTCCCGAACGCTGGACTCAGTGGATCGTTTGATAGCGGCGATTGAGAAATGCTGGAACAATACCGGTCAGGCGGTACATTTTCTTTCCTTAATAATACGCAGAAAATGCAGATTAAAATTTCTTGTTTGCCAAGTTACACCCAGCGGCATTTGTACGTTCAGAACTATATTGCAACGAAACGAAATTTATATAGTTTCTTTTTATCCGCAGCCTGGAACCACATCGTGCAAGCAGAACTCGCATTCGGGAAAAAGAATCCAGTTCGGCTGCCGGAGCTGTCTCCGCCCCCTCCCGACCCTAAAGGTCACGTGCACCGGCCCTTCCTGGACGAGACGATCAGCTTAACATGTGCAGCTGGTTCCAGTCAGCCGAATGATGTCGTGTGGAAACACAAAGGTCACCCGTTACCTCTCAGCCAGACGGTGGGAATCTTTCGCTATAGCCGCGCTCGCGACAACGCCCTCATCCTGCACAACGTTACCTACGCGGCGTGGGGCAAATTTGAATGTCACCAGCGCTGTCCAAATTATGGGGCTGGAGCGTTCTGCATGCAGACGGAACACTGGGTCTTCCCCAAACCAGTGCCAATGGTCCACGAGGTGTACGCGCAGCGCATGCCGCCGGTGGTTGTGCCGCGCTATATGCCCTTCTCGGTCACGTGTCAACTGGACTTTCCCTGTAGTCCCGATCCGGCGCAGCACTTCATCTGGCGATATGCCGGGGTATACCTGGCTTGGCCGCCAAGTCACTACCTGCAGCAGACGGCCTGTATTGTCCCGGAGCGGCAGACGCTGATGATCCACACCAACTACTCCGAGATGACCGGCGCCGATGGTCGTCAGCACTGCGCCTCCACGCTGACGCTGCACGTGCCCTGGCAGAATCACACCGGCGGCAAGCTTTCGTGCTGGGCACGCTCCGATATCACGCAACAGGAATGGTACGTTCTCACCACTCCCGTCCAGTTCAACGGAAGTCTACCGTACCCGGATAAATGCCGGTGCTAGTACTGCGAAATCGTCTTTATGTTTGCATATATTGCAGTACATATATTGCAGTTATGGCTGAATTCACAGTACTCGTATCAGTTAATTGTATCTCCCTATTGAGAAGTGGTTATGAAGCAGTGTTTTTAATTCGGAACAGATTTCGACGGCCGTTATTTGCAGCTAAACACCAAAATACGAGAAGTGTTAACACTTCTCGTATTTTGGTTTTCAGCTGCGGTTAATATTTCTGTAGGCCTGTCAGGCCAACCAATCGAATGTAGTAGACACGCCTCACAAAACCGTTCATACAGGCTCGAACATCGCTCGCGCTCTAATTAACTGCGCAATAGCACACAAAAAAGCTATGGTTCAGCTAAATCCAGAACATCTCACCTTGCCAAAAAAATCTGATTTCTTCTTTCGGTCGACCCGATTTAAAAATGATTTACAATAACATGAAAAAGGTAAAAATTCTTAAGAATACCTGTGTAGTCACATCCACTTAGTGGATTCAAGGGTCGAAACCCTCCACTGCTGGCAGATAACTGAGATAAACAGTAAGTAAGCAGCGCGCGTTCTGACAGCAAGAACTCGCTGGGTTGAAACTGGATAGCATACTGTAGATGACTGTTATTCCAGTGAAACCAGAGGTCGACCTCGGAATCTAAGTTTTTAAAATTTAATTAACTGACAAAACCATTTGCGAACAGGTGCGCAAACACCGAAAGAAGATACAGTTGCAATGACAAATGTAAACAGTAAAACTTTAATTTCGCGCAGCCAGCACAGAATTCGGTTCTAGCTGCCAACCGGGGGGGGCGTGATATCTATGGACACTTTTTTCGTTGAATATCAACGAAAAAAGTGTTTGCATTAAAACTGGTACGGTTTTCTGTCCAATTTTTTTGTAAACCTGGTTTCTGCTTATAATGGTAGAAACAACATTTTTGCACAACTAATACTGTGAAAGTTTCCAGAAAGAAAAATTCGTAGAAGAGATATAGACAACATTTTAATCACTTCCGGCAAAATGGTCTTAAAGGCCGGCCCGATTTCTCTTTTCTTTAAGCCCAATCAAGAAAACTGTTAGAACAGTTTTGAAGAACTAAAAAATCCCGAGGAATTCAGGGGTGGCAGGGCCCTATACCTTTAAAGTGAAATTTCTGGCGAATTTCTTAAATAGTCGGAAGGCCGCGCAGACCGCCCCCGTACGAGTAGTGTTAAAAACACCGATGTTACTTTGCTTTTCATTTTGTTTAATTAGGTAAGTATACCGAGTGCGACTTATTGCTAGCTACTACCGTAGCAGTTTGTAAGTTGACCTGAAGCGTTACGACATTGTGCACATGTGTCGTTCACAACAGCCGCACATGTGTGGCAGTGGCTACATTTTTCTTGGTGTAGTGCAGTGGCTTCGGTGGCGTGGCTAAAACGCTTTCGTCACTGATTTTTTTACGTCGCAATTGCAAAAGTTCAACCTTTTTTTAAAATTTCCAAGTACTCTGTGAAGGGTAAGTCTTGCATGGTCAGATAAAGAAGAAAACTGGGAGAAAATCGGTTTCGGGAAAAACATAGTTAAGGTGGCCAACTGAAACGACCATACGGGTAGTAGTTGCTAGTAACTACCGTAATCACTTGCCCCAGCAGTAGAGTACGTACTCGGTACATTGAATACAATGCAGACGGCATAGTTACTACTCGATGTTGCGCCAATCGTATTGACAAAATAATCTGACACCAATTTTCCGTTGTGCTGTGGGAATCTGTTGTTGCTACGGCATCCATCCCACATGGTGCCACAACGTTGGTACGACTTTAACAGCGTTCTGTAATAATATTCTGTTTTATTGGCTGTCAGCCAAGTGCGCCATACCAGAGTACGTAACTGTTAAAAAAAATTTACAGAAGCCTGAACCGCGTTCAACTCAGACACTAAATAGCCATAAAAGTAGAAACAAAAATAAAGTAAGCAAAATGTCCAAACTACTGCAAACCTTCTCACCGGATCGGGCGGTAAGCTACATATACCGTAATTATCGAATTTGTGGCTCCCCCCGCAATAAGAGCCCCCCCTGTAATAAGCCCCCCTCCCCGACCCTCTCTGAAAAATATGGCCACCCCCCGAAATTACGCCCCAGGGGGCCGTTATTAAATGTCAAGCGCTGCAAAATTATTGGTGAACCGCAAATGCTTTTTAAAAATTGTTGTGCTTATGAGCAAACATTAAACGCACATCAATATAATGCGGTATTCGTTGGCAAAAAGGTGTACAGGGATCTCAGTATACGCTCGAAAATGTTGCAGGGAAGGTTGCGCTGTTGCGTATACCGGTAACTACTGCGTTCAGGTCCACTAGAACTGGATGCGAAGTTGTTTGAAATATGATGCCCCCTCCCAAAAAATACCGTTCGAAAAATAATGCCACCCCCCGAAATTGCGCCCCTTCCCCGAAATAAGCCCCCCTCCGCCATAGCCTTCGAACTATTTGTACCCCAGGGCCACAAATTCGATAATTACGGTATGCCAAACAACATTGACAGTGCGTGGTTAAACATGTAAATCGATCTGTCAAAAATAAACAGGGAAAGTAAATGTTTCTTATCATAACTTATACAATTATGTAAAAAAAACGAAAAAGGCCCGACGGCATGACGCTGATCCCTGTCCGCCAAGGGAAACCGCTGGTGTGGGATGTGACCAGTTAGTGTACGGTCGCAGACTCGCATGTCACCGGCAGCTCGAAGAAAGCTGGATACGTGGCTCAGCTCGCAGAAAATGCTAAGCGCCGGACATATTCGTTTGTGGAAAATGGAAACTTTTTTTATCCTTTAGTGATTGAGACGTTGGGAGTATTTGGCCCCGCTTTCAGTGAACTGTTGCATTTCATGGGCCGTAAAATTCGAGACTTAACTGGAGAAGCGCGTTCTACTGCTTTCATTAAGCAGCGTTTAAGTCTCGCCGTTGTAAAAGGAAATGCTACGGCTGTTTTGAGCACGTTACCTTTTAACCCAAGAGAAGATAGAGATTTTGGTTGTTTTTTTAATGTTTAAATTTTAACTTTCACGTAGTATACCGGCGCTTGCAATCATTGTTATGATGTGAAATAAAAGCTGTAAAAAAAACTGCATTGTTTTTGCGGAAAATAGTCTATCCCATTCACCTACTTAGTTTACAAGCTTTTCGCGACGCAAGGATCTGTAAAGAAAGGAGCACTTTTTGCACCGCAGTAATTTTATACAGTATAATGCAATTTATTATGCAACCACCGTGATGACCGTATGTGTGGGCCGACATCCCGTCGACCGGTCGACTCTTGTCTAATGCGGATGAATGTTGTCTGAGCAGCTTACCATGATGTGTCTTACTGTTCTGACCAGTGGACTGCTTTTCCATGAGCGGCACATATTTTTCGAAATCTGGCCAAGCTGTTTCTAAACCTGACTGTAGTTTTGTTCTTATTTATTAAGGTACGGGATTAATAATATTTATGTAATTAAATTAGACATGCGATCTGGCTAAATTGCGTTGACCGCGCTTCCTACGGTCGATGGCTCTCTAGAAGCGCTGAAAAGGCAACTTCGCGTTGAGATGCATTAAGAGCAGTTATGGTTTATCCTGACACGATTGCGGGACTTTCCTCTACAGCAGTTTATGCTGTTTGTGCATCAAAGCCACATCAACCTACCGCTAGATTATCGAAACAGAGACTGATTATGAATAATATGTGAACAACCTTTAATAGATTATCGAAACAGAGACTGATTATGAATAATATGTGAACAACCTTTAATAAGTATCATGGTACGAGTACAAACTATGCACCAGAACAAAACAGCATTTACAAAAGAAACACTTCCTCTATGCTATCCTGATCGGGGATCGTACCCATTACACAAATCGCATTTCCCCGTTGTATTTGCATAGATACTGTATATTTGAATAATACATATTCAAATATACTCGTATAATATATATTCAAATACTGCATATTTGAATAATATTCCGTTGCTAACCATGCCTTGCAGTCTCATGCACCACGACGCCACGGAAGTCTGGCAAACTAATGAGCTGCCGGATGCACGGTGATTCACCGGCACGCATTTGGTTGAACGATTCTACCAATACACTCTGACTCTGTCTCTTGAACCCTTACGAACATTTCGGATACACTTACATACAATCGCCCATTTGCATACTGCAATGTACAACCTAGACGCCTGCACACGAACACAAGTAGAGTAGCACAAGTCAACGCAACCGTGCATTCAGATATTCGTACGTCATGTCAACCGTGACTCGTACAAATGACCGGAGCGCCAGATTGTTTATTGCGATTCCGGCATTTTGATTTTTCCAACCAGTACGAATACTCCGTGCTGCAAACCGTATCATCAACATCAAAGCATTTTTGCAGTATAGTCCGGGACTTACTGTAGAAATGCTTTGGTGTTGGCTGTTGTGGCTGCTGTTCCTGGGAACAAGCGATGCGGTGTGGGGCAGTCTTCCAGTATCGTGCAGCCACTGGTGTCGCCAAATGTTACCAGTACTACCAGTTCCTAGAATATTATTACGTCCACTCACTGCAACGCCGAAGCCGGCTTGCCTTTCTTGCAAATGTGAATTAGGTACGTACACTTATTGTCAGACGATTTGCGCTACCGTGTAAACATTTGAACGCAGGTTCTCTGAAAAGGCCGCGCTATAGACACTACATAATTCCGAAAGCTACTGTAACTAGAAATCTATAACTTCGAGAGGCTAGAGCTACAGGTAAAGGATATTTCAGCAGCCTTTTCCTAGTAATGAATATTGTCGGACTTTTGGAAAAAATACTCTCAGTACTGCACAAGCCCGGTGATTTATTTCCTCCGTACAGGTACAGCAAAAAACGTGGAAATACTTTTACGCAAGAAAACGTGTTGATTCACAGCATACGCTAAAGATTCTTATGGCATGGCTGAAGACTTTTTTACAGTGCAGTTGCAAGGAAACGGTTCAAGCCTTTTGCAAATTTCAAA